GAGTTTACATGTTTTAAAATAATGGATTTCTACCTACTTGGCCTACCATTCTTATAGCATGAAATTTAAAATAAATGATATTAGATGTTTATTAAGGGGTACTGGGATATGAAACAATTATAATACCTTTAGATTGTATTTTATAATTAGCCCTTTCTAAATTATAGGAAAGATAAAAACTACCAGAAAGCAGTGATATAATCAATGGGAAAAAAAAGAATACTCAGTTTTCTGAATGGGAACGACAATAACCTAGATAAAGGTATTATATTTACTTTGAAAAATTTTCTTTAAACTTCTAAACACTGTAAATTAATAAAAAAGATTGTTAAAAATTATGCTGCCACAGCTCTAGGAATTACTAATTTCAAAAAAAATAGGATAACTATTAGCAGACATCTGAAATGAATGAAGCATTTAATTACCTTTAATTCCCACTGAAGGGGCTCCTCCAGCTACAGCAGCCAAAGCATATTCAATCTGAACAAGTTTACCAGATGGGCTTAAAAAGAAACACAGGTATTTGCTAAGTTCACATATCATCAAATATTTATTATAGGAACATCTCTGAGTGAGGGCAGATATATAGGTCCAATCCCATTAATCAAATCCCCAGGAATAGCTGGCCTTTGAAATCTATCATGAAGTTGTACAGAAACTAAGTTTACAAGGCAATTTGAACATATTTAGAATGAGCACTGATTTCTCTTTCCTTTGGTTGTGTTTTGTCTGCCACTTGGAGCAGCATTACTGCTGCCTCTTTTCACTATTTACCAACCTTGTGTCTTTAGGCAAGTCACTTAGCTTTCTTTGTTTTCTCATCTGTAAAATGGGAATTATAGTACTATAGCATTAATAGTGCCAGTTGACCCTTGATATCCGCAGGTTCTGTATGCCAACTGCAGGACTTGAGTATCTGGATTTTGTTACTCATGGAGGTCCTGGAATCAATCCCCTATGGATACCAAGGGATAACTGTACCTATTTCAAAGTATTGCTGTGATGTCTAAGTAAAGTAATGTCTATAAAAGTTTCTAGCACAAAACTAGCAATAATCAAACACTGAACAGTAATGTTATTAAATATATGTATGTGTCTGTTAAAAATCAAACAGCAGCATATATTCCATGTGGAGAGCTTTTAGAAAGTAGCCATGGTCTAAGATGTAAGACCTATAAAACTATATCTGGGAGCCATTATTAGATGGTTCTGCTTAACAGATCTAGTTCCATGGGTTTGGTAACCAAATACTAGTCTCAAACTGGCCTTTTAGGTTATACTTTATTTCAACCTAGTAGTTGAGTTAGAGTCATTATAAACATCATAGTCCAACCTTCTTATTTTATAAAGAAAAAGTCCTTGAAGGAAAGTAATCTGTCCAAAGTGACACAGCTAGGTCCCTATCAACTGTCTACTACTGAAAAGATAATCTGAAATTTCAGAAGATCACCCATTTTCTATTCATATAATTATGAATGCTTCCTTTGTCACTCAAGTTTCAACTCACACCATCCCACCTTGCTCCAGACACATAGACTACTTTTAGACTTTGAAAACCTTTCTGGCAAGTGAATCCCTCTGTAATGCATTTCTCTATTGTCTAGTGAACTCCTTCCTGGCCATCTTTCAATCTTCAGTAGAAATGTCATATCCTCAGGGAAGCTGCCATGACCCCCTCAGACTAGGTTGAATCCCGTCATGCCAGTGGTGTCCTGTACTTCCTGTTTGACTAACAGTCATCATATTTTTTTTTTTGGTAGAAATATTTATATTTTATTCATTCTATAACTACATCCTTTTTTTTTTCTTATGTTTTTTTTCCCGGCATACTATGGGGGTCCAAATCAGTCATCATATTTAATTATCTTTACAATATTTGTCTTCCTCAAAAAAGTGTACACTCTGATTCCAGAACATAACCTAACACTAGGAATCCACAATCATTTGGTTGATAGAGACACACCTAGATCAATTTAAGGAATAAACCTAAAGGTGACAGATTAAAGACTTTTAACATAATTAGCTAACTTGAACAGAACAGCATCCATTGGCATTTAAATTTAAAAAATTAGGCTGAACTGTTTTTTCCTTCAATGGCCACTATTTCAATAATCATATCATGACATTCTGGGTCCATCCAGCTTTCAATTATTGCTCAATACCTAGTTCATATGACTCTAGGGAACATTTAAAGGTTCATACAAACTTAAGTTATCTTCTCTCTGTTCCCAGAGTCACCTGTACGTATATAATTTTACCACTGCCATCTTTTTGAGTGAAAGCTCACAAGAACTTGCTGAGCAACCAACCGTCTTTGTATTCAATAATGCCATACCACATTCCAGAGTATCAGCATCTCTACCTGGGATAACTGAAAGAGCCTTCTAACTAGCTTTCCTTTCTCACCCTTACCTCTACCCTCAGCCAGACTTACCTTTGTACCATGTCACCCCCACTTAAAATCTTGTAATAACTCTTCGGTTCATTTAAAATAAAAACTCTTTATTCTGGCCCACAGGGCCCTGCATTGGCCCTCACCCACATACCTCCTTGCTCACTCTACTCCAGCACATTGGCCTCATTTTAATTCCTTTAGAGCTCAAGCCTCTTCCCAACTTCAGGGGTTTCACACATGCTGTTCCCTCTGTCCACAACTCTCCTTACTACTAAATTTTAAATAGCTGACTCCTTTTCATCTTCCAGTTTTAAAAATAACCCCCAAGCACCGCCTTTCCTGACTAAACCCAATCTAAAGTTATGTTCCTTCTTTCACTCTATTCTTTTTAATAAAATTCCTAAGACATTTTCCAGAATTCATCAGTAGACACCAATTTGTTTACTCATTTATTATCAATATCCCCAACCAAATGTAATACACAAGAACATCTTTTCATCCTACCTTAATCTCTACTCCTACCATTAATAATTTTTTTTTTTTTTTTTTTTGAGACAGAGTCTCGCTTTGTTGTCCAGGCTAGAGTGAGTGCCATGGCGTCAGCCTAGCTCACAGCAACCTCAAACTCCTGGGCTCGAGCAATCCTTCTGCCTCAGCCTCCTGAGTAGCTGGGACTACAGGCATGTGCCACCATGCCCGGCTAATTTTTATATATATATCAGTTGGCCAATTAATTTCTTTCTATTTATAGTAGAGACGGGGTCTCGCTCTTGCTCAGGCTGGTTTTGAACTCCTGACCTTGAGCAATCCGCCCTCGGCCTCCCAGAGAGCTAGGATTACAGGCGTGAGCCACCGCGCCCAGCCTAATTTAATTTTGATTACAACAGTCTACACACAAATTTTTTCTTTTTTATCTACAAAAGAGTTGAATCCATCATGTTAGAAAACAAAAGTTTATTTTAATGAAGATATCTGTTATAAATCCCTGATGGTATATGGTTGTTTCATGTTTCAGCTCCACTAGGATTATACTTTCTTAGAGATAAAGGACCACATTTGTTTGGTTCACAAATAACAGCGACTACCTTGCACACAGTATTCTGCCATTATATATGAGACCTTTTATTGCAGAATTAAATTAATTTCATTCAAAGGTTACCAAAAAAACAAACAAAAAACCCCCCACAACTGTTACATACCCTCACTTCTTATTGAAAACTGCCAGTTTCTTATTGAAAATATTTTTGGACTTCAAGAAGGGAACATGATGTAATGGAAAGTGCATTTATTTTGTCATCAGAACGATCCCAGTTTGAATGTCAAGTCAACTACTCACCTGATGATCCCGGAAAAGTTATTTAATGTGTGCAAGCTGTGGTTAGCCCATTTGTAAGATGTTGAGATAACACTGATCATACATGGTTGGGAAAAGAGATGGAGTAGGTGAAGTTGCGCCTATACAGAGAGTACTCAACAAATTAGATCCCGCCTACCTTCAGCTGCCAGATAGGACTACATCTGAAGTAAATAGGGCTTTACTGATCCTTAAAAAAATGGTCAAATCAGAATCCTTCCCTGGTCGATTTTTAAAGTCTTCAGCGATGTTTCACCTCAACTACATTTTGAAAAATATATATTACTTTAATCCCTTGTTCCATTAATAGAAAAGCCTACAATCTTATTTAAAGTAAACATACCCGCTCCCACCACCCAAAAAAACCTAAAGCGCAAATTATTGCCTAACAGTTTAGGGCTCACAAAAAACTGAACGATCAGAACTTACATTTTTTCAGTCCTACGCTGCTTTTTTTTTTTTTTTTTTTAAGAGACAGAATCTTGCTCTGTGTCCCAGGCTGGAGTGCAGTGGCGGGATCATAGCTCTCTGTAACCGCGAACTCCTGCCTAGGCTCAAGTGATCCTCCCACCTCATCCTCCTGAGGTGCTGCTGGGATTGCTGTCGTGAGCACCGGCCCGTGAGCGTCTCATACTAAGACGCGCGTCGGAGAAACCGAAAGCGGAAAGTTTTGAAAGACACTAGTGCCAAACGGAGACCGAGACTCCGACCTAACTGTACCACTAAGGGTTTTCCAAGAAAAAGAAACCCCACATATCTGACCAAGATTCCGAGTTTCAGAAACTCCTGCATCAGGTCTACTTGGGCCAGGAAGAAAATCCCGGATTCTGAATGGGCCACCCAAAGATGGTTACTCCAAAACTGCCTTCTTTGCTAGTTTCCAAAGCGAAAGCGAATCCCTGGCTAGGGGCCTCCCGGTCCCGCAGCCCCAAGTTCACCCCGGATCCCTGAGGCCTCCCAGCACCGATGCTCCCGGGCCCCTGGGCCACTCCGGCAAATGACTTTGCAAAGCCGCATTTCCACCTCCATTCCATGTTGGACCCTACGGAAGCACCAAGCCAGATGTCAGGACAGAAAATAACGAAGTTGACAGAGCTCCTGCAACCTCCGCCACGCGGAGGACCTCGGGGCCCCTTCCTTACCTGAATGTAGTCAGCGAAAAGCTGTACCCGCGCTCCGCCATCTTTACCCGGAGAGCCTAAGCACATCCGGTGACATGCGCACTGCGGCCAGTTTTTTTTTTTCCATTTCTCCGCCCTTCTCCTTTACTTTTCTCTTTCTCTCTCTGATTGGACAAAAGTCAGAGCCGCTCCAGGAGCATGCTGGGTGTTGTAGTTTCAGGAGAAAAGTTTGCCCGACTCTGAGTATGTGCGCATGCTCGAAATTGGGGCGGGATCCCACAGGCCGGAGGTTCGAGAGCTGTGGGGTCGTTTTCCGGCGAGGAAAATGGCGTTGGCCATGCTGGTGCTGGTGGTTCCGCCATGGCCGGCAGCCCGGGGACTCTTCCGAAACTGTTGGGAGCAACTACAGCGGAAGCTTCAGCAGAGCCGGCCAGGATTTCCCAGTCCTCCGTGGGGTAGGCAGAGAAGGTCTCCTTTGGGGAAGGGTTGGATGAGGACATCGTGGTAGACACAGAACACATTCTGCCCTCAGCCGGTTCTGACGGGCGGCTGCGTGTAGGGGACGTTGGTGACATTCACTTACGTTGCATACGGCTGTTTTTATCCTCTCCCCTGGAAAACAATATCCTTATGCCTCATTCGTACACAGTATGTAACCTAAGCGCCTTAGCTTGTGTCAGAGATAAATACAGCCAGGCTTTAGTTAAAGCTCTGAAAACAGATTTTATTCAGTAACTATTGCCAAGTAGGGCAAAGAGCTGAGTTCCATTCTGTTTTGCACAAAGGTGATTTAAACGTTTTTAAGGGGAGAATGGGGGAGGTGGGTGCGGAGGCTCAAAGTTAAAGAAGTGAAATAGTACAAAGGGTTGGTCAGTGTGAATGTAATTAGCTAGTAGTGTCTGCTAACTCATAATTATCGAAGTTAGAATTCCAACATAAACACTGGGAGACAGGACCTATCCCTATGATTAGATTTCAAAGGAATGGCTCTAGGTTCCTAGAGTTGCAGGAGACTTATTTAGAATTTGAAGCCTTTTTTAGTAAATGTTCTAAGGATGGGAGTTCAGGGGTCTGTCGTCCAGTGTGTGTTGGCCAGAATAAATAGGAAATTTTCTGGCAGCCTTGAGCTTTCTCAGGCGGGGTCCGAAGTCATCCTAAAGATATGGCTAGAACCGGTTTAGAGTTTAGTCTGGTCTTTTAGTGCTGGGGTTTGGACATAGTTGTCCTCTGAGGACAGTTCTCCAGTTATCACTTGGCATCAAGTCCTGCCACTCTGGATGCATCTTTTCTTTTGTTTTCAGTCCCACCCACTGATGCACGCGGAATGCGTTTTGTAGTCTGTGGTGGTAGTTGAGCTCTGTGCAGATAAATTCTGCTTCCTCTGTTTCCTTATGGAACTAATTTTAAGTGGAAATATTTTGAATGTTAAAACTGTCACTGTTTTGACATTTACATCCTACTCAACTTCTAAGTATCCCAAAAGTGATAGTACCCAGACAGACTGAATAGAGATATAGATATATACTAAGAAAATATAATATATATCACTATATGCCAAGCAATGTGTTAAGTAACCTTTCTGCATGTACTTCTGGGATAATCTTCACAGCAATCACATTTGATTTCTCCACTTTACATCTGTAGTAGGTGAATGTCCAAAGGTCACGCAGGCAGTCCAGGGCCTTTGTTGTTAACTACTGGGCTATGCTTAGCTTTACTTTTAGACATATTGAAAAGGAATACCAGTTGTTAAGTGTTAGAGAATTTTGTGCACTTTTTAGAGTTCCTCAAATCATAAGGTATTGCAAGTCTGAGGAAGAGCAAGGCAAAGATAAGAGCATCTCTTTGATTTTATAAGCAACTTAGAAAACAAAAGTGAAACTTGTGTGATAGTCAAATAATATACAAAGCAGTGGTGAACTAGCTCTTTTCTTTAGAGAAGAGACAGAAACTAAGATTAAATATTGTGAAGAACTAAGTGACTTAAGAGGGCTACCAGGCTTACATGATAAAAGAGTTAACTCAATTTGAATATAATAAAAAAGGTCCAGTAGGTACTTATCTTAGTACAGGTCACAGAGGTGCATTTAGGGGATCTCAGTCTTAGATTTACTTGTAAATTAATTAGGTGCTTACTGCCTACCAAGTAGAAGGTAGACAATTGAGTGATTTTTGTTGTTGTTTAAGTGCCAAGCAAACTTTTATTCATACTACTAAACCCTTGAATTCTGTATTTTATCAGGTGAGAAACTCGATGGAATTTCACTGATCTAATTTCTCAGCAGTTTCCACTAAGAGGAAATTCTATTTGTATTTTTTTTTTGTTTTTGAGACAGAATCTTACTCTGTTGCCCACGCTAGAGTGCGGTGGTGTCAGCATATCTCATAGCAACCTCAAACTCCTGGGCTCAGGCAATGCTTCTGCCTCAGCCTCCCAAGTAGCTGGGACTACAGGCATGCGCCACCATGCCCGGCTAATTTTTTCTATATATATTAGTTGGCCAATTAATTTCTTTATAGTAGAGACGGGGTCTCAACTCTTGCTCAGGCTGGTTTCGAACTCCTGACCTTGAGCAATCCACCTGCTTGGGCCTCCTAGCCGCTAATTTTTTCTATATATTTTTAGTTGGCCAATTAATTTCTTTCTATTTTTCAGTAGAAAGGAGGTTTCGCTCTTGCTCAGGCTGGTCTTGAACTCCTGAGCTCAAATGATCCACCTGTCTCAGCCTCCCAGAGTGTTGGGATTATAGGCATGAGCCACTGCGCCCAGCCTCTATTTGTGTTTTTAAAAATTACCTGTTGTCTGCACTTTAGGGTATTTTAATAGCCAAGGTTTCCTGTTAAATGTCTATTGGATTTAACATTCTAAATTATCTATGTATATGTCTGTGTGTGTGTGTGTGTGTGTGTGTTTAATTGTTGACTGTTAAGGAGAATGAAATCTGTAAATAATCATTTAGAAGCTAGAAACCAATTCTGTATCTCCATGCTTTATTTTATAGGACCAGCATTAGCAGTCCAGGGTCCAGTCGTATTTACAGAGCCAGCAAATGATGCAAGTGGAAGTAAGGAGACTTCCAGCCTTTTGGATAGTATCTTTTGGATGGCAGCTCCCAAAAACAGACGCACCATTGAAGTTAACCGTTGTAGGAGAAGAAACCCTCGGAAACTTATTAAAGTTAAGGTAATGTATTGATTTTGTGGGTGTGCTTTTCCTCAACTCCACCACTGAATAGCCTCATGGTATATTCATACAGCCTATGGATATATTATTCTTAGATCTTAAATGTCTGTTTTCCTCTGGCCTAAATTAAATACAATATTCTCATTATGTATGTATACTGCCCTCTAACCTAAATGTTAGAAACACTTGTCAAAGAAGGAATTTGGAGATTGGACAGAGAACTAGGTTGTGAAGAGCAACATGACTTTTGAATTGTGAGCTGTATCAGCCCTGAGCTGTGTGATTTTTGGACTACAAATGGATAAATATCCTAACTATGGCATAACCTAGAATTAAAGTCAGAAGCAGTAGGTATATCGATCTTGGGTGTTGGTAGCCCTTACATATTCATTTTATTGTTTACCATGTAAAGACTGTGGAGGAAAACCTTGAGATAAGTAATAAAATAACTAACATCTGTTAAATGTCTGTGCTGTATCTCAGTGCTTTATGTGCATTATATCTCATTATCTCTTAACAACAACCCTACAAAGCAAATAGCATTTTCTTTGTTTTTAGGATGAAGAAAGCTAAGCAAATCACTAGGCAAAAAGAATTTGCCTGTGGTCATGCAGTTATTAAGTGGTAGAGCCAGGGTTTGAGCCCTGGTGGTCTAATTTTCTTCGTGCACCCCTATCCTAGGAATTCTATATTCCCCTCCTCCACAACATGGATGTACTTTCTGCACTGGTCTACTAAGAAAAATTACAGTGTTCATTACCTCCAATTGGTTAATATGTGGCTTTAACAGCTATGATTTTGGTTACTGTTTATTTCATGGCATTCTAAGGCAGCAGTACTGTATAGCTGAAACTCAACAGAATTGACTTTCATAAGCTTCCACATTCACCATTAAACCAAACCCTTAGAATAGAACTTAAGTCAGAAGTATTGTGAGTCATGGTTGGAGCTGAACTTAAATCTGGAACTGAAAAATACTTCATTACTTACTACTTAAAATAATTTATACAGTTTGTTCAAGAGGTCTTAAATGAGATCATGCACGGAAATATTACATGCCTTCCCTGATTGCATTTATTCTAAGGGAACAAAATAGCTCTTGTACATTTATTTTCTTCTTTGAAAATTTTCTGCTACATATAGTATACTGTGGGTGCTTTGATCATGAAAAGAAGACCAACTGACTGTGTATCTTTTCATACCTTTCATTGCACATGCAATCTATTTTCCAGCATAGTGGAATATGGTTAGGCCAGTAATGTGCAAAGTTCTGTGATTCTTTCAGAAAATTCTTTCATTATCTGCCTCACAAATATTAGTATATTAATCTTATGAAATGTTTGAAGCTTCTTTGATGCTCCCGTTTATTATTTTTTCTTTATATTTCCTTTCAAATCTACCTTCAAAACATGTTGAAAAACTTTTAGAGGTTATAATTGTTTTATTTTATAGTTCAAGTTGGATAGACTTATTAAAATGTCCTCAAATTGTAACATAAAAAGAGTTTTCACACTATGCACCAAACCTATATTTTGTATAGGAATTTGAATTCACTGTGATAAAGCAGAGGAAGCCAACTTGTAATGTTCTTATCATCTTGTTTTCCCCAAGATAGTTGGAAAGTGAAAGTGAATTTGTTTTTCCTTGGTGTCTTATTTAAGATGCTGACTGTATAAATGACCCCATTGTGTTGATGGATTCTTTTTTAGATACTGAGTATTTGGAGTTGGGGGAAATAGAGAATCTTTTTACATAAATATGATTGCTGTGTTTAAGTAAAAATGTACTAGATTGTAAGTTGGTAGACCTGGGTTCTAGTTCCAATTTTTCTACCAATTCAAACTCATTGTTGCGCATCCTCAGTTTCCTTTTAAAGTGAGGTAGAACTAGATGGTATATGACCTCATGTAGCCTGAATCTTCCAGAAAATTAGAATGTAATCATCACTCCTATCAGTGATTAATTGTGTATATTGCCCCTTGTTAAAATATGTTTTTGTTTGTTATTTTAAAGAACAATATAGACACGTGTCCTGAATGTGGTCACCTGAAACTCAAACACATCCTTTGTGGCTATTGCTATGCGAAGGTGCGCAAGGAGACAGCAGAAATCCGACAACAGATAAAGAAACAAGAAGGGGGCCCTTTTAAGGCTCCCACCGTAGAGACTGTGGTGCTGTACACGGGAGAGACGCCATCTGAACAAGATCAGGGCAAGAGGATCATTGAACGAGCCAGGAAGCGACCATCCTGGTTCACCCAGAATTGACACCAAAGATGTTAAAAGAGGCTAACTTTACAGTAAAACATTTTTCCTAAAAGAGAGGAAGATTGTTTGTTTTTATGTTGTTGTGTTTGTTTTTAAATCATCAATATAGTTTAAAACATTCTTTATAAGCAGTTTTATGTGGGATAATTTAAAGAGTATATTGTGAGTAAATTCTGAAAATGTCTGTTTATGCAAAGGCTCAATGGATTAATATATCTGTTTATTACATATAAAATTTTAAGTACACATAGAGTTCCAGGAGGAAAAAAAAGAAAAAATTTAAAATTCATAATAAGAATCATGTGCTTTGGTTTTGTTTATTAGGTTTTTTAGACATCACTTAACACAAATACTTTCATTAAGTAACACATGGAAATAGGCTATTTGAATTTTTGGTATTGTTTTTTAAGGTGGTGGTTGTGACAGTAAGGAAAGGTTTTGTTCTTGTTTTTTGTTTCAGCTAATTAAAATTGCCTTTGGAAGAATTCATTTTATCTGGAACACATTATGCTAATCTACTTATGGTAATAGTTCTTTACACTTTATCTTAAAATCACATTTGGAATATATTAGATAGCTTATGTTTTGGGAGAGATTTTTAGTGAGGAGATCTGAGCAAATCTCATAGTATACCAAAATGTGCTAAGGATGTTGTCTTTGTATTTTCCTTCTAGCATGTCCTTTTAGTATATTTATTTTACACTGTATCTTTTTTATCGCTTTGTAGCAATAGCCTTAATTTTCTGCAGTTCATTTCTTATTTTCTTCTACATCTCCCGTGCTTGTGTATACCTTGAGCTCAAGGTTTGCTATTTTGTTTCCTTCCTCATGCAAAATTTTAAAAAGGTGAGATAGCTAATTAAAACACAGATAAGCAAGTAATAGAGTTAAAGGGGAAAATCAGTAGACAAGATAAGGTAAAGCCCAGAGATGTATGTGCAATAAAAATGTATACTATAATAACCTGAACTTACTATGTTAGCCTGTAAATTCAGCTCTGAACTTTCCTTTCTTTGGAAGGAAGGCATGTTCACTTACATGGATAAGTCTCCATAAGACACACAATCTAGAAGGTGTATCACTATCTAAGTACTAAGGCCCGAAAGACATTTCTTCCAAGGGGCTTCATAATGAGGATTGTGTAATGGTATAATCCATGTTATTATAACATTCCTAGAAGAAAAATGACCAGTTTCATGGAGTACATTATAGACCAATGATACATTGAAGTGCAGTTCAGTAAATGCAGAACTTCCAAAGTATTGGGGATCCTAGTAAACAGCTCTTAGCTCAATTCAAGCAAAAAAAAAAAAAAAAATGAGATTCCAGAATTATTAAGTTATCTGCATGTTATTAAGGTGATCATCTATAGATAATTCTTTTAACTTTGACAAATTACATAAATGTTATGTGTTGAACGTAAAATAGATGTGCTTGCAGTAAAATCAACGGTTCACGGATGCTAGGCTAACTACATACCTAAATGTAATCAACTGCCTACTCAGTATTATCAGTTGATCAGGAAGTTGCAAAGTATATCTCTAGGTAACAAATTGCCCTTTGATGTTATGGACTGAATGTGTTCTCCCAAAATTCATAAGTTGAAATCCTAACCTCCCTCCAATGTGATGATATTAGGAGGTGTGGCCTTGGGAGGTAAATAGGTAATGAGGGTGGCACCCTCATGAATGGGATCGATGCCCTCATAAGAAGAGACACAGGACCTTGCTCTCTGCTCTGTAGCGTGCAAGGATCCAAAGAGAAGAAGGCCATTTGCAAGTCAGGAAGCAGATCCTCACCAGAACCAAATCTGCCATCACCTTAATCTTGGACTTTCCAGCCTCCAGAACTGTAAGAAATGTTGAAGCCACCCAGCCTGTACAGCAGCTTGAGCTAAGACAAAAGGCGGTATGTACAGGTGGACCTAGTGAGAGTATGTGGGCAGGGTCACTGTTTTCTGTTTAAATGCACCCCCAAATTAGGTAATTATTGGATAACAAAACCAGATGTCTAGGTCATGTCGGAAAACCATGTTATAAAGGAGAGTATTTATCACTTTTTAAGGAATGTCCCCTCAAAGTTAGCTTTATTATACATTATGTCACGTTATACCTCCAATTTTTACTATCACAGAAACAGCATCATGAGTTTGAATTAAGCCGTTTATATAACTGATTCATTCATGCTTTAAACATTAGAAATTAACTACCTGTCCCTACTCGCCCCCTATAAACATGAAGATGTGAGACATTTTACTAGGCCGTTTTGGAGGGAATCATCCTTGAATCTGGTATTCCACCTTCTCTCCCTTTCAACTTGCAGGCAAATCCACAAAACCCATTGGTTCTACATTTGAAATGTACTTAGACTCTGACCACTTCTCACCTCCCGCTCTATTACCACCCCAATCAGAGCCTCCATCATCTTGTCTAGAATACTCAAGTGCCCCGCTAACTGATCTTGCTTCTACCTTGGCCTCCTGTGATCTATTCTCAACACAGCAGCCAGAATCCTTTCAAAACAGGTCAGGTCCTATATCTGTTCCAACTCCTTTATTTGAAACCTTTATTCATGAAACACATGCACATACATACATGAAAATTTTTGCTTTATGCAATATATACATACATATTTTTTCTTGGTAAACCAAAAAGTATTCTAGGTGCACTATTGCTGACCCCAATTTAAAGAAATTATGCTAGATGTTTTAAAAATATGAATGTTTTTCATAATTTGCATGATGTAACTTAAGATTTCTTCAAGGAAGTACAAAGACTAGGGGCCTTTAGAACATTGATGGGATGGGGATTGCTTTCACACTGAGAGAATTATTTTCCTTTTTTTAAATTGTTATAAGATTGGTGGATTTATTTATTTGATTTATTTTTGGTAGAGATGGAGTCTCACTGTGTTACCCAGGCTGGCTCGAACTGGCCTGAAGTGATCCTCCTATCTTGGCCTTCCAAAGTGCTGGGATTACAGGCCTCAGCAGAGAACTATTTTCTATCCCTGCCTCCACCCTCCCATTTGCAGTTGTTATGTTTCAGGAACAGGATTCATCCCTCAATACTTCTAAGTGTGTGCTAAGGTACTCTGCTGTGAGGAGTGTGTCTTTTCCTGACACATACACAAACACAGATGCTCTGTCTTCAGCTGAAACTCTCATGGAGCAGTGTCATTTCATGGTCTGTATTAGTGAATAATGTTTTCATCTGTGCCTCTGACCAGATGGTGTCTCTTCCAGCTGCTGGTCTTCACTGGTTTCCACAGAAAAGTGGGTCAAGAACACAGCACCTAAGGCAAATAGAGAGCATGTGCCTTGGTGTTCAGTGGAACACCTTGACCCCCTCTTTGCAGGGCTACTCTTTATTAGCAGCACTCCTGGCTACGATCATGCCTTTGTGCTACTCTGCCCATGTTCCTCTGCTGTCCCTGTTGACCGCCTGTGCGCTCACCTCCACGTTTGTGAAGCCATTACTGACTGTTAGGGATGCCATTTGGAGCAAGGAGGGAGGAAAACTGGAGGGCAAACAGCTGGGTCTCCTGGACCCTGGAATTCAAGCTCAGAGCCAGCTTGACCGTTTCAGCCTTGAAACCAGCGTCAGGAACTGCCAGAATTTACTAGGCATCACCGAGCCGCCTCACTAGGGGGCAGCAGGTGAATTGCACTGAGAGTCTTCTCAAATGAAATAATAAACCATCAAGTCCATTAATGCTGGGGACATCGTCTGTTTCCACCAAAGCCTGTGGCTAGTAGAGGGATTACTGCTGGGGGAGAAAGGGCCGTCTGCAACACTGTGAATGCTGCTAACAAAATTGCACCTCACCCATCACTGCGTCCAGGGCTTCTCGTCCCCCGCCCCATGGGGCAGTGTTGTTCTCTCAGTGTGCCCTCCTTGACCCTCTTCTCTTCCTCCCTCACACCCTTGGGTACAAGCAGCCTAATTATAAAGTCCTTTCCAAGATCCACTTTTTCAGGACAAAAGCTTAGAATGCTACTGCTGTGTAATCTCTCCAATCTTCCTCGATATTAACATTTCAGTGGCTAAAAGGAAGCACCGATTTTCTCTTTGACATTCTTCTATTCCAGTAGTTCTCAGCTATGGGCATTTCTTTCAGTCCCCTGGGGACATTTGGAAACATCTAGGAGCATTTTTGGTTGTCACAGCTAGGGGTGGGGATAGAGGACTGGCGAGTGCTACTGGCTTGTAGTGGGTAGAAGCCAGGGATGACACTCAGCATTTTCCTCTGTCACACTCAATAGAACTAATTTTATTTTGAATAAAATATGTGCCATGAAAATATTTTAATTTTCTAGAAGTCTCCCTGTGCCATCTTATCTTTTCCATACTTGAAACTCTCAGCAATGACCCTCAGATCTACGCCTCCAGGTCGAATTTTCCTATTGCTCTCCAGACCCATGTTCCAAATAATATGAGATTTCCATTAGAATGTTGCATAAGTCTCAAACACATCATAGCCTACCAAGTTTCTAAATCCTTCCCCCCAGATTTGCTTCTCTGATACTCTAGCTTGGTTCACTTATTTATTACAATATTAGACATATTACAAATATGTCTAATATTGGCCGGGCATGGTGGCTCACGCCTGTAATCCTAGCACTCTGGGAGGCCGAGGCGGGTGGATTGCTCGAGGTCAGGAGTTTGAAACCAGCCTGAGCCTCCGTCTCTACTATAAATAGAAAGAAATTAATTGGCCAACTAATATAAATAGAAAAAGTTAGCCGGGCATGGTGGCGCATGCCTGTAGTCCCAGCTACTCGGGAGGCTGAGGCAGGAGGATTGCTTGAGCCCAGGAGTCTGAGGTTGCTGTGAGCTAGGCTGACGCCATGGCACTCACTCTAGCCTAGGCAACAAAGTGAGACTCTGTCTCAAAAAACTATATATATGTGTCTAATATTTCTATCCAACTATATAGCACACTCTGCTTGACTCATTGGCATTTCAGGGTTAGCACTTTGAAAACGGCACAGCTGACTGTCCTCCCACTTACTCCCATCAGCCAAGCCTGTACCTCACCCAAATGTTTCCACGTAGACAAAAGTCAAGTTGCTCTAGCAAAACCCTGGTCATTCTTGATTTCTCTGTTTTCTTCTTATCCCATGTAAATCCATAAGCAACTCCTTTTGGCTCTACCTGAAAACATGTCCTGAGTCCTGAGTGACATTCAGTTTGGATTGATAGGAAGGGACGGTGCAAGGAGAATGCACCGGAAAGGTCAAGAATGGATCTGGGGAGACAGGCTGGGGGTTTCTGGAAGCAATCTAGGGTAGAGATGATGAGGCACAGACGAGAATGAGGGCTGAGGACAGAGACAGAACTAGAGGAAATTGAGATATATATTTTAGTAACAGAATGGCTAGGACTTGGTTGTAGGGATGCAAGAGAGAGGGAACACAGATAATTTCCAGGTTTCTAGCTTGAGCAACAGAGGGAATATGATTAGGAAGCCCAGGAGAGGTGAGGAAACTCAAGATATCCATTTTCTTTTCTTCTCTTTTCTTTTCTTTTTTAGTTTTAATAGATTTAGGGAGTGCAAGTTAAATTCCTTTACATATATATGTTGCATATGGTGAAGTCTGAAGATACCCATTTCACTGAGCTATATTTGAAATACTTATTGGACATGCAAACTGAGACGGCAAGGAGGCTAATGGGTATGTGAGTATGTAAATCTGGAAACAGTCAGCAGATGGAGTGTATTTAAAGCCATGGAAATGAATGAGATTATCCAGGGCGAGTTCTCAAAAGAGAGAAGAAAGCCCTAAACTGAGCCCCGAGGAGAGGGAGCCTGTCGAGGAGGACGTCAGACGTGGGGATGTCGGGCATCAGACTGTCGTGCCACAGATCCCGGGAGAGGAGAGCGTTTCAAGAAGAGGAAACCGGCCATTCTGTCAGATGCTGCTCGGGAGTGAAGTAAGATGAGGATAGGAGAGTACCCAATGACTGTGGCCAACGGAATTCACTTGCGAGATGACAAATGCTTCTTCATTTCCGTGTTGGAGGCAGAAGCCAGATTGAAATGGGCTAGAGGAGATGTTTATTGAGGATGTTGGGGCAGCACTCCTAGATGGTTCTTTCCAAAAGTTTTCTTCTGCAAGGGGGTAGAGAAATGAGCCGATAACTAGAGGATAGGGATTAAGGGGCCAAGTGGGTTGTGTGTGTGCACGTGCGTGCTCACACACACACACACACACACACACACACTGCAAAGTGAGAGATCATCATATATTTATGCTGATGGGAATCATCCAGTAGAAAGGGAGGCTGTGGATGACACTGAGAAGAATGACAGAGAGAGAGAGAGAGATCTTTAGTGCAGCTCTTTCTAGAGGTTGGGCCCAATGCTTGCTCTTACTGGAAGGAGGAATGCATCCTCTACTGTGGGTTAAGCCAGAAGGAAGACCTATGGCAACACCCTAGAAGCCTGATTAATTTTCATACTTTTCTAGAACATGCCTAGAAGCCTGAATCTCTGAATCTGCATTCACCAAGCCTCCACCTATAATTTTTTTCCCTGTTTTCCTGCCACTAGATTTAAATGAAGCAAATAATTATATTCAGTCCAATGTATTGATGATTTAATGGTCGGTGTCATATGTCATGTGTTGTCCCAAAGGCCTAATGGTTATTTTTCCTGATAACCAGTGCAAAGATCAGGGACATCAAGGTGTGCACTTTGAGGTAGCATAGGATGTGGTTTAGAGGGGGTAAAAATTAGCAATAGGTAAGATAAATTCTTAAAGCTTTTTAAAAAATTACTTCCAGTAAACTTCCTCATTCAAAAACTATATTTATTAATATGTATATAAATTTTTAACATTTTTAAAATAATGTTTATTATTATAACATAACGTATTCTTTACATTCAGCTCAAAATTATTTTTCTTCAATATGATGGGTGGCATTCACTGAATACCTATTATATATCAGGCATATTGCATATGTTATAAATAATCCCTAAAATAACACTGTGAGGCAGGTAGTATTAATCATGGCCTCTGTTTATGGAGTGTTTATCATGCATCAGGCATTGTGCTAAGAGTTTTGCACAAATTACTGTTGACCTAAAGAAAAACAATGAGGCAAAATTAATAAAAGTAGAGAGTTTATTTGGGCCAAGTTTGAGGACTACAACCTGAAACCATAGATTCAAGTTGTCGTGAATAAGCACTCCAAATAGCAGCAGTTACAAGTGGGTTTTTAAAGGAAAAAGAAGAGGCAGTTCCTAAGTTTTTGTTTTACCAAGGATTTACATTAAAAAGCATAAGCTCTTGATTGGCTATACATTATTTTTTCTATCACAAATTCCAGAAACATTAAGATAAGGGGTGAGGCAGCAAATCAGAAACAAAATGCCTTTAAACAATTGCACCTGGGCACGCGGGCATGACCAAAGTCCAACACACGTGTCTCTCTGGGCCTGATCAGTTTTGCAGACCTCACATAGCTCTGGCTGCTCTGAGCTATTTTCCTTTCTCATTGCTTATTAAAGTTTTATATAGCATGATAATGTAAAATATTAACTGGCATTCTTTTCTGAGATATTTTCTTGTATCTTTTAGCTTCCATCTGATTCAGAGGTCTAGAGTATTTTATTCATTTTCTCAAGAACAAAAATCAGAAAGGGGATTGGAGAGGGGAAGAATTTCAAACTCTTAGCCTTTATGAGAGAAAGCAAAGAACTAAAATTTTGGAAAAATAATTGGGGAAAACTCATGTTTATTTAGTAGTTAGGCTTCCCTGCTCCAAAGACTAGATAAAAATGCCCTGGGCCAAATGGGGGAGGGGGACCTGGATGAGGGCAGTGATAAGAGCAGGAGCCTGAGAAGGTTCCCGCTAGGTGAGCTCTCCAAAAATTAAAGAAACAAGAGTAAAGGCATCCCTGGGAAAGGCAGTGTGTTGTGTGTGTGTGTGCATTGGGTGTGAGTGGGACTTGTTGTCCTGAATTGACAATTGTGCCTGTCACCTGGCGGAATGGAGCCTCACCGTAGAAAGTAACCAACCGTGTGAGGTAGACTTATCTGCAGATGCAAAGCCTTGCCGGCATCCACCCAGCAACGGGGCTAGATTTGAGCCTAAACTCAAACCCTAAATCCTGGGGTCTCCACCACTATGACAGATTGCCTTGGGGTTTGTAGATGGTGAACGTGACTTGCAGGAAGATGAAAACACTTGCCCACAATCCAGAGCTCACGGAGGGAAGCTGGTGTCTGAACCCAGCCTGGGCTCTTACTTCCATGTGCCTGTTTCCACTAATGTGCTAATCTTAAAGCCGCTCTTTTTAAATTCTAAAACAAAAATTTGCCCAGCTTCTCAAATGGCATATGAATATTTACAGTAGAATAAATTATAAGAGCTTAGGCAGGGCCCGGGCTCACGCCTGTAATCCTAGCACTCTGGGAGGCCGAGGCGGGAGGATTGCTCGAGATCAGGAGTTTGAAACCCGCCTGAGCAAGAGCGAGACCCCTGTCTCTACTATAAATACAAAGAAATTAATTGGCCAACTAATATATATAGAAAAAATTAGTCAGGCATGGTGGCAAATGCCTGGAATCCCAGCTACTCGGGAGGCTGAGGCAGCTGGATGGCTTGAGCCCAGGAGTTTAAGGTTGCTGTGAGCTAGGCTGACGCCACGGCACTCACTCTAGCCTGGGCAACAAAGAGAGACTCTGTCTCAAAAAAATAAAAATATAAAAAAAAATTATAAGAGCTTGAAAGGAAATGATATAGTCCAACAAGTTCATTTTGAAGCTCAGAATTTTTTTTTTTTTTTTTTTTGCGACAGGCTTACTCTGTCCCCCAGGCTAGAGTGCTGTGGCATCAGCCTAGCTCACAGCCACCTCAAACTCCTGGACTCACTTGTCTCTGCCTCCCGAGTAGCTAGGACTACAGGCTGTTGCCACCACACTTGGCTAATTATTCTGTTTTTAGTAGAGACATGGGTCTTGCTCTTGCTCAGGCTGGTCTCGAACTCCTGACCTCAAGTGATCCTCCCACCTCGGCCTCCCAGAGTGCTAGAATTACATACGTGAACCACCACGTCCTGCTGAAGCTCAGGAAATTTAGCTCTAGACTTACCCAAGATCACAAAGCTCGTGAATATTAGAGGTGAGTCTAGAACTATTTAACATAATTGCAGCCATACTTAATTTTTATAATGTTAATCCTTTGAACAATATAAATACAAACATTATTGAAAATGAAGATGACAAACAATACTTTTTTCCAATGGCTACAGTAACAGTTTCTACGAAGAGAGATAAGTACTTGTAGAATATAGAATGATCATATAATTTATCATCTAAACTGAGTCACTTTGGAAGGTGGAATGGAGGGCTATATTAATAATTATACCAAGAAAACACACATAAATATGGACTGCCTAGGCCAACCCTACCTAACACCCCTCCCGACACCCCCTGCACCAGACTCCCGTTATAGAGCACAGCTTCAGTTCGCCTCCATGCTAGGGCTGGACTGTGAGAAATTGAAGCAATTTAAGATTACATCTTCATCCTTGTGGCAGATATGGTCAGGACTGACCCTGTCCTAACATTCTGCTGGCTACAGAGCCTCTGCATGTTGCCCGGTGAGATGTGAAGAGAAGTTTCCCGGGGACTTCTGGAAAGCTCTGGGACTTCTGGGATAATTTACAGGTGAAATCTCTTGTTTCCTTTTAGATGTCTTTTGCAGATGTGAGGCCTAAATAGGCTTTGGCTCAAGAGCTCTCTCCTCTCTCTCTCTCTCTTAACTGTGTTCTGTTTCTGTGCACCTTTTTACTCATTTTCCCTATTATTTATGTATCTTCCTATCTCTCACAGAAATTTCCATGACATTGTTAGTGTTTATCTAAGAAACAGTTATAAACTGTAGCCTTTTATTCAATTCATGATTTTTGTCTACTCATTAAAATAAAACTGACAACTAAAGCTTACAAAAATAAAATTTGCTTTTGAATAAAAATGAATGGAAGAATTAAAATCTTCTTGATAAAATATAGACTTTAAAATTTTTATTGGGAAAAAGTGGACTTGGTAAAAAATTGATTTGCCTTTAGTTTGAACACAGAAGATAATTATATAATCAAAAGTCAGAACTCTATGTCAAGGTAGAGTCAGAGGAGTCTGCCTTCTATCCATATCCTCTTAACTTTATTTCCTGCCTTCATTACCGATAATCTTTTAAAAATTGGCTTTTACTTTATTGCTTCTTTCTGAAAACAGAAGCAAATACATTTATCTGTTCATACTCCTCCCCTTTGTTCATATAAGGGAGCATAAGTTTTTCCTACCACTTGCCTTTTCTATTAATATTTCACAGTGATATCTGTCAGGATGGGCTAGGGTTTGCCTATGTTAAAACAACACTGAAATCTCAGTGATGTAAAACAAAACAAGTTCATGACCCTCTCAGGGGAGCAGGGGACTCTGCAGTGTGTTAAAGGAAAACATATTAATAGTGGGTTCAAAAATTCTTTGATTTGTAATTGGTTAAAGAGATAAAGCTTTGTCTAAAGACTTGGAATGTTTTAAGTTAAGATAAGGAAGTCTGTTAGAAACAACCCACAATATATTGACTTGACTGATCTGTTAAGCAAACTAATGCCTGTAGGTGATTTAACCTTTGTCCTGCATAACCTTAGATCCTGCTACTAATTGAGTTTCTTATTGTCATAAAGAGTCTATTTTGTTTCATTTTCACTGTAGTTAGAAAAAAAAAAAAAGAGTCTATTTTGTCAGTCTTGTCATCTCTTTTTTAAGATTAATGCCAATTATTACAGCTAAACCCCAAAATGGAGGGGGTGTAATGAGACATGCCCAACTTCCCTTCCTTTCACTGCCAGGAACTCAGTTTTAAGGTTTTTCTGGGGTCCTCTTGGCTGAGAGGAAATCCATCCAGTTGACACAAAGGCTTAGGATTTTATTTTGGTTTACAGATGCCATTGCTGTTCTCCCTGTGGCATGAAGCTGAGGGAGCAGGTATACTTGGTGCCAGTCATAGAGACAGAATCTGCACTGGTCTTTGTGAGAAAGTTTAAATTTTTCCCCTGAGATTTTGATAATTTAAGTCTACAAAACAAACTGACAATAGATTAACAGGAAAAAGACATACAAATTTTATTAATGTGCACATGGGTATGAGAGTCATTCAAAATATAAGATGATCTATGCTTACAAAATGTAGCTTCCCAAGTGCCTTACCAAAACCAATAAGCCTTAACCAAGGTTATGACTTAACCAGAGATCCATGAAGTATCTCCAAAGAGATGCAAAGTCATCCTCACAAGATCCAGAACCACCTCAAAGAAAGGAAAGTTTTGTTAGCCACAAATGAGGTACAACCCACATTTCTGTCTGGCCATGTTCTCTAGAGTCTCAGTTTATCACTCTGCCATCTACACACAAAATCCTGAAATCCTCATGTGCCCCACAGATAGAAGACAGAAAATTAAAAGCTATCCATGGAAGGGAAAAGGATCTTTAACAAATGGGTACCCCAAAAGTCAAGAGTCTCACACAAATAATTTCCAATAGTGTACTTACTATAATAGTGACTTGGTCCGATAAGCCTCTTCATGGAAAGCCCAGGAAGTAGTTTTCCAAGTTTAGACTTAGTTTTTCACCATATAAGCAAGAGGCGTTGCTAGAGAGGGCATAGAAGATGCAGTCCATGATCCTCAAAAATTTATTACAAGAAATTGGCTAAGACAGCAAAAGACTCTGTTGCCACAGATGGTTAAGAATGGTGTTTGTGCTTATGTTGCCTCTGGTATCCCATAAATTTGTGGGGGATGGCCAATTACAGACCCATTAATCTATCACACTAGGTAGGCCCTCCTGGGATTGGACTTTCCTAGGACCAACCGGGCAACAAGGATTGAGATGACAAAACCCCATTACGGATGGGACTTCTTGTTAAGACAAACTCCTCTGAGAACTTGACATGTTTGGAAAAAATCATGTGCTGCTTAAAATCTTATGTGTCTCAGGGTTTCCAATTTTTTAGACTGGCCACTGGATATGACCTGGAAAGCCCACCCCTGGATGGTAGAGACCAAGAGAAAGTGCTCCCACTTGGTCAAAAGGCAAGCTCTCAAGGACATAACACAAGACAATAGGGGAATCTCATCTGGTTTTATTTCAGGGCCCCACAAAAAAAGTGTGTCTAAATAGATGCCAATAGGGTCAGAACTGCACACTGACCAGTATGCAGGGCTGGCTCAAACACAAACTTAGAGGGGTTTTAGGCCCATGTTATACACTATGGCACCCCTCCTTATGCAGAAAAACACACAAAAACAAGGAAGTCTATTTCTGGGAGGAAAAGGGTCCGACAATATGAATATTCACTCCCAAAAGTACACCAGAGTCACTACACGCAAGACCAGTCACACAAATCCCCTTCTCCCATGGATCAAGATTTTGAAGAGGAAAACGGACAGTGATTTTTGCCATCTGCTTGGCCAGATGCCACCGAGAGAGAGAGAGGCTGGAGCCTGACCAGTAAGAATTCCGTACCCCTCTACTGGCTGGTCAGGTCCTTCTCAGTCTCCTTCACTCTTGTCTTCTTTTCTGCAGTTCCCTTGACTGTGCTTCCAGAAGAGCAAAGCAGTTTTGGTATCCTGCTCACAGTGCCAGGACTGTACACGCCAAGGGAAAGCCTCCTCTCTTCCCTCGGAAGGTTCCCTGAAAATGAACTGAAAAAATGCAGATTAATAGGAGAAAAGGTTTTCAAATTTATTACTGTGGTGGGGGGGTGGGACACAGAGTGATTATCCCAATTCCCAATGTGTAAATGATTATCAGGGAAAATGACTGGACCAGGGAGACATAAACTAACTCATGAATGATTCTCCTTAGAATTTAATGCACCTGGTAGGCAGGCGTTATCTTGTGGAAAAAATCCATCCAGATGTGGTTGCATTCTTCAGTCTTCTTTTCTGCAATAGGTAAGGAGGTCACAGGGAGGGAATAGATGGCAGTTGTGTTTCTTTGGTAAGAAGCTTTACTGGTTAGATAAGGAAATTGCGGAGAGAGAGTCCTTCCCTGCACTTAGTGATGAGGAGAAACAAGACAAGATTAGAAGGGCCTTTATTCTATGAAAACAAGCAATTCAAAATCTAAGGTATTTTAACTTTAAAATATTTTGAGTCTCAAGGGAATGTGATTAAACGGGCAGCTATAACCTAGGCAGTGGCAATCTTTTTTTTCTCTGATTACAGATTAGCCTTCTTCCTTACCTATATTGTTTTGTAAAATGTTGTAAATGACTAAAAGGCACCAGGAAAGACCTCCTCCCTCTCCACTGTTGATCATCATTATTGATTAATTTCCCCTCTTACCTTTCTCACACAAAGACTTCACGACTATCGCGTTGTCTAAGATGGAATGTTAAACACACTCTTAAATTGGAAAGGAAATGAAAACAAGCTGTATGGAAAGGAAAACAAACTACAACCAAATAAATTGTTTTAATTGAAAAGCCACCTTGTATATCAAATGTTATAACCTTAAATTTCCTTTTTTTCTGCCTATATAAGCAAGACCTTAACTTTTAATTTCAGAGCTCTGACACCATGTCCCTAGACTTTGTGTTTCCTAGATGTATATTCCAGATTTTTGCTTGAATAAACTCTTTACAGCTGGATTCTGATCCTTTGACTATTTCAGGTTGGCAATTCTGAGACTTATTTCCGAGGCCTTTCATTTTTCAAAAACACTCAACATGTCAAATGCAATCCTTTGGGGAATCATTTTTCTGCACCCCAACATTCCCTACTTATGGGTACTTTTTTATTTATGTATCTGTCTGAATCCTGTGCTAAGCTACGACAACAAACTAACACAAAATCTCGGTGACTTTATACAACAAAGGTCAATGTTACATGCCCTTGCTATTAAGCTAGAAACTATGTTTTGTGTCACTGTCCTCCTGATTCTGTGATCCAAGCTAAAGGAATAGCCTAGAACAGGGGTGGGGAACCCATGGCCTTAAGGCCGCATGTGGTCTTCGAGGTCCTTACGTGTAGTCTTTTGACTGAATCCAAATTTTACAGAACACATCCTTTTATTTTATTAATACATTTTTGTTTGCCTTTTATATTGTTATTTTATTTTTAAAATTGGCTGGACGCAGTAGCTCATGCCTGTAATCCTAGCACTCTAGGAGGCCGAGGTGGGCGGATCGTTTGAGCTCAGAAGTTCGAGATCAGCCTGAGCAAGAGCGACACCCCATCTCTACTAAAAATAGAAAGAAATTAATTGGCCAACTAAAAATATATACAAAAAGTTAGCTGGGGCCGGGAGCGGTGGCTCACGCCTGTAATCCTAGCACTCTGGGAGGCCGAGGCGGGCGATTGCTTGAGGTCAGGAGTTCAAAACCAGCCTGAGCAAGAGCGAGACCCCGTCTCTACTATAAATAGAAAGAAATTTATTGGCCAACTAATATATATAGAAAAAATGAGCTGAGCATGGTGGCGCATGCCTGTAGTCCCAGCTACTCAGGAGGCTGAGGCAGGAAGATCACTTGAGCCCAGGAGTTTGAGGTTGCTGTGAGCTAGGCTGATGCCACGGCACTCACTCTAGCCTGGGCAACAAAGCAATACTGTGTCTCAAAAAAAAAAAATTAGCCGGGCATGGTGGCACATGCCTGTAGTCCCAGCTACTCACGAGGCTGAGGCAGGAGGATTGCTTGAGCCCAGGAGTTTGAGGTTGCTGTGAGGTAGAACTGATGTCACGGCACTCTAGCCTGGGTGACAGTTGAGACTCTGTCTCAAAATAAATAAATAAAATGAACATATTTGAAACACCAAAGAATAGCCCTTTTTTACGCCCTTTTGCTCTCCCTTTGCTGTGACAATGGTTCCGGTCATCATCTGTGGCATATGTACCATGTCCTATAAACCTCTACCTTGCTCTTGCTCTATAATACTATCTTTCTCCCCTCAATAAACCTCATTTTCTTGCTTGCCTTAAAGAAAAAAACCAAAGAATAAAATAAGTTGCAACAAAATAATCCTCCCAGTTTGACTGGCACAATTAGAACATTAATAAGGTATAAGGGCTAAATGGATGGCTGCTACACTCATGATTTAGTTCCAACTTTCCCCACTACCACTGGAAGCTGGTTGGTAAGAGTTTATGGGGATCAAGTATGCCAGTCTGTTATCAGCTTTTGACAATGGTGCACTGTGTTTCTGTTTAAAGTGGAATTTGTGAGTAGTTGTACAGCTTGACAGTACTTTTTAATTCTGTCTGCTTAACAGCCCATGATGTCAAAGGATATCAAGAGAACACTGAAGGAAGAAAACAGACTTTTTAGTGAGGATTCGGAATTGCAATATTCTCTTGTTTCTGCTAAAGATAAGATGATTTGCTTGCTTTGTGATACTGGAATATCAACATTAAAGAAATTCAATGTTCATCAGCATTATAACACACATAAGGACCACAAATGTTTTAAGTCAGAGGGAGAGGTTCAAAAGGTTGTATTGCAGAAATTAAAAGATGAAAAGAAAAAGTAAAGACAATTCTTTCAAGCAGCAACACGACCTAGTAATAATGCCACTGAAGCAACTTATAAAGTAGCTTATATACTCAAAAAAAAGGGAAGCCATTCAGTGATGTTGAAATTGTGAAAAAATATATCGCAGAAGTTGTAGGATGCTTAGACTCCAATAACATTTCAAAGTATTAATACAAATAACTGCCTCTTTCAAGGAAAACCATAACTGCTTGGCATAAATTAGCCTTCGACTTAACAGAACAACTTTATGCAATACTTCAAGAGGAAAATATATATTCTTCAATTGCTTTGGATGAATCAACTGATACTATTGACTCCATGCAGGTTTTATACTTCATTTGGGTCACAACAGAAGATTTTCTTTGTTAGGAAGAGTTAGTCACTTTGGGCACTCTAGCAAACAGAACACAGGGAATAGATATCTTCAACAACTTTTGAGATAAATGTCATTAAGGTGGACTGACTTTGATAAATTTAGTGAGTATACGCACCGACAGTGCACCTTCCATGACAGGAAAACATGAAGGTTTTATTGCACAGATAAAAAAAATATACACAGATCCAGATGCTCTCATTTCTTTTCATTGTATCTCATGCATCAGCAAAATCTCTGTGCTTAAGCCATTATTTTAAGTGACAGTTTGTAACAAGTTATACGTACTGTTAACTCTATTCGTGCAAATGCAGCATGGCATCATCAAACTATATTTGTGAAAATGGAACATGGCATTGCGAATGTGAATTACTGAAAGATTTCTATAGAAATGCAGCATTTCTGTGTGATGTCAAAACAACTTGAATATATCTTTGCAAGATAAAACTAAGTCTAAATATGATATATGGCAAAAAAAAATACAAGCATTTTTTTAAAAAAAAAGCTATCTTTTTTTCAAAACAATTCTTCAAAAGGAAATTTTGGATGAGCATTTTCCCCAGTTAGCAAAGGTCATTGATGAGCAGGATGATATATGCAAATCATTTGAAGAATACACAGCTCTTATAGACCTATTAATTGGAGAATACAAGGACTGACTTTGAGAATTATGACATCACATTCAAATTAGCATTTCAGCCTTGCCTAGTTGATATCACCAAAGCACCTAAAGAACTGCAGATGGAATTGATTGAGCTCTCAGTAGATGACATATTAAAATCATTGATGCTAAGAAAGATCAAATTGAAATATGGAAAAATGCAGTAGAATAACCATGCCCCAAAAATTTGTGTTCTTGCTTTTCAACCACTTACTGCTGTGAATCTATGTTCTCCTACCTAACCCAAATCAGGATGCCTTTAAGGTCACAAATTTGATAACTGATACCTACCTGGAGGATCAACTCAAACTGTAGATCTACAGGCTGCAACCAAATATTCAAATGCTTTCCAACAAAAAGCAGACATAAGAAAGTGATTAAATAGTTAGTTTATTTATTTAGAGACAGAGTCTTGCTTTGTCACCCTAGCTAGAGTGCAGTGGTATCATCAAAGCTCACTGCAACCTCAAACTCCTGGGCTCAAGCCATCCTCTTGCCTCAGCCTCCCAAGTAGCTGGGATTACAAGCCACCATGTCTGACCAATTTTTCTATTTTTAGTAGAGATGGGGTTTTGCTCTTGTTCAGGGTGGTCTCAATCTCCTGAGCTCAAGCAACCCTCCCAGAGTACCAGAATTACAGGTGCGAGTCACCAAGCCTGGCCAAGTTAACTTTAAAATTAACAAATAGTTTTCATTTTTGAAATGATTAAGTACATAGTAGTTAGATTTTTTATAAAATAATGTACATTTGTAAGTATATCTATTTGAAGTTTCTTGAATGCAGCCTTATTTGATGACAGCTAAATTAATATGGCCTTCCAACATGAAAAGTTCCCTGCCATTGATCTAGAACATCATGTAGCTTCAGAAAGGGGGAAAGAGAGAAAGGCAAATCACATTGCCTCTTAACTCATAAAAAGCAGCACACATCATTACTGCTTGCATCTTACTGGCTAAAGCAAAATTCAAGTAGGCAGATGTGATGATATTGTATAACATATATTTGGTCTTTGTCCCCATTTCCTGGCATACAGCTCCTAAAAGTAGTAAGAGCGGGATCCTGGAGTGATAAAAGTGTCTTTTGTATGCTAATGGATGATTGGTGCCTGGGGGCCCCTAGATAGCTTCCTGGTGGTTACTGGTCACAGAAAGATTAGAGGTTGGGGCTTTCAGCTCCACCCCCCAACCTCCAGGGAAGAAAGAGTGGCTATATGTTGAGTTGACAGCAAGGGCCAATGATGTAATCAATCACACCTATGTAACGAAGCCTCCATAAAAACCCCAAAGGATGGAGTTCATGGAGCTTCCAGGTTAGCTGAGCACATGGAGGTTCCTGGAGGGTGGTGCACCCGGAGAGGGCGTGGAAGCTACACAGCCCTCCCCCATGCCTCTCCCTAAGCCGCTCTTCCATCTGGCTGTTCATCTGTATTCTCTGTAATGTCCTTTATAATAAATAGGTAAATGTAAGAAAAGTGTTTTTCTGAATTCTGTG